GTAATTTTTACAGGATTACAGGTAGACAATTAGATGCGTTTGTTTTTTTTTTGTTAGTTAAAATGTGAGCTTACTGAGGAAATCCTCCTTCCCGAATAGAATAAAGGCCCCTCATTTTTTGCCTCAACCGCATGAATGGGCAGATTCTCTCTGATAAACATCAAACACCTCAGAATGCTGTGATATCTCAAAATCCTTCGATATATGTCCTACAACTTTTTACTCATTGACATGCAAGCTTAACGATAACGGACTGAGAGAGATCACTGACCATAAATGACGAGGCTTTGCTTGCTTCGTTGAGGAATGCACATTTTTGAGGATGCATAATGGAACTGATGTGACTTTGCTCGAGTCTATAAGGTCTATCGTCCCTTATTATGAAACGCCGTCACTTCCCTTAAATGTTCTCATATGACGCCTCTCTGTTAACAGAAGCATCCCATGAAACCTCCCTTTAGCAGCCGGCAGCACAACGCTACCAACGAGCAACTTTGTAGATATTTCTGTTTTTTTGATAAAATTGCATAATCAATATGTCTATTTACAGGGTGTCCCAAAATGTATGCACATTCTAAATAATCGTAAACTTGGTGCTTATTATAATCTTATTATTTGAAAAATTTAAAAAAATTTACTAGTATCATTAGTTGATTTTTTCCCTGCATGATCCCAGACCGACGTCCATTTTGATAATGACATTCCTGGCAATGCGGAGCAGTAGAATCGCACCCACCATGTAACAATTTTTCTTGGTGTTTGCGTGCATTAATGGTCAATGGCCTCTTTCAATTCAGTGAATTAAAATATAGTGAAAAATGATAAAATGATACTTGTAAATATTTTTTTACCTTTTCGAAATAATAAAATTGTGATAAGCAACAAGGTGACAATAAGGTGAAATATGTATACATTTTTTTGGGACACCCTGTATTAATTTATAGATATTCGTGGATCCGCCTACAAGTGAACTGTGAATATGGTAATTACTATAAACAGCACAAAGACCTGGGTATATGGACAGCCGTAACTTGATGCCAACAGAGCACTGTAAAAAGGCCGTCTAGAAGGCAACTAGTATCCTGCACTGGATCAGACGAGCGTTCAAAATCTTCCCTCCTGAACACGTCGGGAAAATATTTGGCGCCTTTGTGAGACCACATTTGGAATACGGAATGCCAGTTTAAACACCGTGGTTGAAGAAGGATATAGACCTTTTGAACAAGTGCAACACAGGGCGAAAAACATGGGTCGATGGTCTCAGGGACTTACCATATCAGGAGAGGTTGATCAAACTTGACCCTTTTCCTTTGTCTTACAGGAACATTCTGGACATGCCGGATAATCCGGGGCCACAGTTCCTT